ACATGTGTCTTTGCTACTACTAGCGGCTGTGTACTGTGGGTTTATCTGTGTGTTAATGGATGTCTAATCTTGGTGTTTTTCCAGTGATTTCTCTTGGTGCAATCCAAATACAGTAGGTGTGTCTTGTTTACTGAGATTTGCAAGAGTTTGAGCTGGCCAACATGTTAGTTTTTTTCATATGGTTGATTACTGGCATGTTGATTTCCCATTTTTGAGCCATATTTTCAACTTTCTTCGTCATTTTCATATAGCAATCTCGTCATATGTTAACATTGTCGTCTATGGAAATTCAATTAGTGGTATGAGCCCTAAAATGGTCGTGTTGTGTTGGTCTGACCTATGACCCCAATTCGTTCGCACTTGTATTAGCCGTTGATGGCGTTTTACCGCACTATCTCATTCAGAATAATATGTTATTGTATTTGTGTACTTAAGATTGTTATTGTTTTATTTTGCTTCACAATTTTATGTGATTGTGATTGTGATTGCCAATGTGAACTGTGATTAAGGACCACATGACTGATTTATCGTGATTCATGTGAATAAGTTGAACACAGTGAAGAGTGAATAAAACGATATATTGGTGATATAGAACTGAGTGACTTGTCAATATCTTAATCGACACTCATCATATAACACAATTGGATTTAGATTTCTGAGGCTGGTTTGTATTCAAATACTTGAAATTATTATCTCTTCGCTCAAACAAGTTAACCACGAACAATCTATCAGAAATGCCTATCAACAATGTATGTCAATCGATTATTGCTGTATATACTTCTAATTCAACAAGTTGTCCGGCAATCGTCAAGCTTCTAGATAAAGCCTCTTTGATAAATGATGATAAATTTAGATAATTCTAAGCATATAAGTTTTGTTCACACCACTCTGTAATCATGCGATTCAATTTGTCTCAAAACTTCAGTTTCAACTAGTAACAATTTTCCTTTCATTTTTCGTAACAAATCGATCTTATCCAACGAGATATTAACTAATTAAAATTTAAAAAATGACCTTGCAATATTGTTCTACATTTGAATGCTAAGGTCAACTTTCGTTATCAAAACATAATCCCGTATAAATAATGGTCTGTCATATATTTAAACAAGTTCGCCAAAAAGAAACAAATAAATTGTAGAAAAATTCAAAGATTCACTCACATTTACACAATATATAAATGACATACAAATAAAACACAGAAACCCTATAAAATAGTAACAGTTTTAACACATGAAAAAACAATCTTGGAGATATATTCATCAGTAAATAACTTGTCTTGGAAGAGGGAACATCACAGGTAAACATGTCGAAATTCCAAACCCTGTTTTGCCTTTCTTCATACAGTACAATAAATGAACTTCAAATATATAGGTCCATGCTTCACGAATCCCTGAAAGAAACATAAAACAGACACTTAAAATAATCACTTTTCAACTTCCAACTCTATTTATTACCAATGTGTTTACTAGTACAAAACTAATATTAATCAGGTCATTCAAGATAACAATGGTCAACGTAAACTCATGACATGACTATTCTACTTAAAGACACCTAAAAAGATGTTATTGATTTGACACTTTTGTTTTCTACTAAACAATTTTTTGTGAATGACATTTAGTGAGTTTTCTTGTAAATTTGATTGTATTGCATTTAGCCATTTTTATTCTGTATATTATTAGGTAGTTTTAGTTCTAGGTATTCCTGTTTTGCTAGATTATCATCTTGGTGCTCTTTTGCGTGCAGCCAGTATTTAATGGCCTGTATTTTTGTACAGAAAAGTGGTTATTGGACCTCTGCTGTTGATGATGCTATGTTTAAGCGGCGATTTATTCACCGCAATTTTTTTTACAAAATTGTAATATAAAGTTATTCTATTGCTGTGTTGTGATTCATGGTACATTCAAGAAGTACCAAGCGTAATTTTCGTCGCAAAAATATTGCTTTATCATGATAATTTTTACCCCAACGGCATAACTGAAACAAACAGTTGACAAGATGGCGGCCATTAATAAATAATAATACATGCAATCTTTACATATTTCATCAAATATAATATCTATAGCTTAAACGCATATAAGGCTGGTGTGTATTGTTAATCAATGCAGTCCAGACACAATAAAGTTGTGAATAACGTGGGTGGATAAGAATAAGAGGGCAATAAAAACTTGACTTTAGGCTGCAGCAGGTGACAGTGGTTCGAATGTTTCGGTATATACAAAACAGCCGTACTGTAAATCTAAGATGCAAGGGAATGTTCTGCTGCGTTTTGAAATCATCATGTTACAATCTTCTATGTCAGTAAGTAGTTTGTAAATAAATGATGATCTGCCATGTTTCGTGAAACAAAAGCATTTTTCTACTAAATTTGAGTTATTGAATTTCTTTTTAATATCCATAGATTAAAGTCAATATTGAATTGAAGGGTTTGGCGGGATGTTTCTGCCAGCGTTTGTCCGCTTTACATAACAAGTGGAGTTGATTTACCATTTTAAGTCGAATACACTTTTGAATGACTTCAATTTACACAGCAATATATACTTTGTCTAATTATTGACGATTGAGATGTGGGTCATGTCAACTGTTGGTTATCACAAATACGAAAGACATGGATTACCAAATTATAATATAACGCATCACGTGACGACCACATGAAGAATGTGACGACCACATAAATAATGTATCTATGTGTGAAGAACCAATCAAAATGAACTATGTCTGTTGTCATATGACAGGGTGTTGATTCCAAAGAAATCTTTTATTTTCAATTGATGACAGAAAGTCACAGGTATTTATAGTTTTCACTGTTTAATGTCCTTACAGTAGTCAAGCTATACTTTGCTATCATTCCCCCTTCGCTACCCCCACTACAGTGTCTGCTGATCCGCATATATGAACGGCGCGCTACCATGATGGTGGTGTGTCCAAAGGACATAGTCATGCGAAAGCGACCATGCTGATCACCGTTTAATAGCACGTACCTTGATTGTAACGCAGACACCATTTTTCAGATAAATATTGTCTGCATATACATTGATACCAGGGTATGTACTAACACATAAAATCTGATACGACTGCTTTATAGCCATGCTTAACGTTAACGTGAGTTTTGAAGTAAAACATATATCTATTACAATACATATAGTTGTAAATAATCGCAGTGCACGTGATGATGTTGGATGTCATAGGGTCATGATTACAGCATTGTATCACGAGATTTAAAAAAAAAATATATATAAAATGTTAATTCATTTTTTCAAATAAATTAATTCCTATTGGATAGCTGCCTATTTTTTTTGAAAAATGTACGTAGTACATATAATCTGACATATTTATTTGCTATAATAGAGTACATAGTTAATAACCCACAGAAATTGGAGGAGAAATTAATTGCGTGCCAATCAAATTTGACAATTTAAAATATTCATAACAGTTCTTATTCTGACTAAAATATTCAACAAGGGTTTGTCAGCCGTGAGTTCCAAACTCAGAAAACACACAGTAGTATATTTGTTACGTTTATTAATAGGTTAATTTGAAAAGACATGAACTGGCGCTTGAGAAATTGCTATGGTATTGAATTATACAGGTCGTGTGTCTGAACTTTTTCATGAGAATTCTTTCGTATTTCGTAGATTTTTTTCGTAGACGCCATTGTAACTTAAGTTAAACATTTGAATTATTTTTAAATGTAGTGCCAAACCATGTACTATACATAATAAAATGACTACATAATTAAAATAAATCTATTTGAAGGTAAAGAGAAATATGACGCAGATCTGAATAATTATATAAAAAACTAACATTTATAAAGGGTTATGAATTTGCTACACTAATTCATGAGTCATCGATATTTTTCTATGAATTTTGATATAGTATATGTTGATATTTTTACCACCTTAAAAACACTGTATAATCGGCAAGATCCAATGTTCTAGGAAAGAAAATCAAATATTACTAATCCGTTAACGGATTGGCTACCCAAACCTAAGATCTGACACTCAGACCAATCAGAGAGCAGCTTGCTTATTGACTGATATGATATGTCACTACAGGTCATGCTAATGGTTTCGTGTTAATAGTGTATGTATATCCGGTTGTTTTGGCAAAATGGCAGCGTTTAGAATTTTGGATATTCATTAATTTAAAAATCAAAGCGTTATAATGGGTATTGTAATGGAATTTATTCGGGTCTCCATTACAAAAAGAACGTTACCCGGCCTAGCAATTTAGTGGCGATAAACGACGACACTTTCTACTATGTCGTACGGTGATTTAGCGGACACACAACACGCACTTTCTTCTCGGGCGGATCCTGGTACAGTCTCGGTTCAAGCACTTCACGATATTATCTAAATAAAACGATTCACACACGGATTTTGGATGAAAACAGAACCATCACATCAACGTCATGCTGCTCGACCAGAACATGTACATGTCAATCAAAAATGATCATGTGATATTATATACTCAATCCAATATCTGTAATAGGCGTACATCTTATACATATATGAAGTGGAATATTCCACCACTACCTGGCGACCCGAAAGGTCTACCTAGGTTTACAAATATCATAGTTTAATAA